TAGACATTAGCAATTGTAAGTTTCTCGACCCGAAAGGGTGCCTTTAAGAATGATAAAACCTACTGTCTGGATCACGATACACATGTTGAACCTCAAAGGGGAATGAGTTATGTAGAAAGATGGCCACTCCCCTACTCTTGGAGGAATGTAGGGTATAATACCCCTGCCTATAGGATCTATGAAAATATGTTGGGTGTTTTGGGGCTGCAAAATGTGTTTCCTGTAAAAAGATAATTTTAGCTCCTAATCGTTTATATTGAAGAAAGGCTGTTTTGTGCTTATTCGGAGAATTGAAACCCTGGACATTATGCGAAATAAATTGAATTACCATTACAAACAGAGCTTGTCACTATCATCATAAAAGTACATATTGCAAAGATATCCCCTAAAATTTTTTGACTAGACATAGAGACCCGCAGGTCTGCATCAGACAGACGTATAGGTGGCAGAACCAGCCTAGGGGACCGCAAGACCCCAACATGGGGGCCGTGACGTCCACAGACCGACACAATACCATCCTCATACACTAAAGTTTTGAGAAAAGAGAGAAAGCGAAAAACAATAGAGAAGAAGCTTTAATAGCTTCTATATTTGAAAGGGTAACCGAAGAACATGGATCAGGCAGAAAATTTATCATACCTGATAAAACAAAAAGTTCAAACATTAAGGGTCCAAATGGGCCCAAATCCTGTCTCCTTAGAACATGGGAAACAGAGCTGCCACCCCGCAATCGGGCGGTGACACCTCCGGCCATGTCAGGAGGCAGGATGGGGTAACGTGTCAAAGAGTTGTAAAACCATGAATTAATGGGCGTAATTAGGAGGGTCCAGTGACCCTTGTTATACCTTAACTCGTCCAGTTATCAATGCAAGGCATACATAATACTCAGTATTGCAAAAATATCACAGCAGCAACCATAGAAATACACAACCTGACAATGTAAGAAATAGAGAGCAAAATCCCTGTGTCCCAGATCTTGGTAAAGTCATAAAAGACAACAGATAGGACCAAAGATTATCTAGACAGTGGATATTAGGCAAGTGAGAATGTACCCATCAACCCGGTTCTTGTCTGACTCTCCTTCTATCACTCCGTGGGGAAGGGGTATGCCAAATGGGAGAGATACGAGGGGTGGACGTTGAGGTGACGGGGCATCTGCCAAGCCCATTTGGCCAAGATTGCTCTACCTTCGGGAGGGGATGTAGCTATATATGTGCTCCCATTATGTGGAACTATCAGCTTAAAAGGGAAGCCCCACTTGTAGCGGATACGAGCCGAGAACAGGGCAGTTGTAACTTCTTTTCATTTTTCTACGTTTCTCCAACGTGGCCGGGGAAACATCAGGATAGATTTGTAAAACCGAGCCTTCAAAGGAAATTGTTGAGGTATTGCGAGCAGCTCTGAGTATTTCTTCCTTGGTCAGAAAATCCTTCATGCACAAGACAATATCCCTAGGCGGCTTGTCAGCAGGAGGTTTAGGGCGTAGGGCTCTGTGGATGCGGTCACAAGCAAAAGACCTAGGGTCACGATCTGGAAGGAGTGATTGAAATAATTTGGTTATAATTGATGAAAGATCCGACATAGACTTTGGGATTCCCCTGATTCGCAGATTATTCCTGCGATTATCAAGATCCTCGACCTGCGCCTGCAGTTGTGAAAAGGCAGTTTGTAAATGGTCATGCTCTCTGGAAAGTTCACCATAGGCCAGGCTAAGTTCATCGTGTTTGGTTTCCAAGCGGTCTGTCCTAGAGCCCAGCGTGGCTATTTCCTGAGAGAGAACATTAGTGCTTTTAAGCAATTCTGATTGAAATTTGGCGGCTAGTTTGGCGTACATAGTTTCCAAGCAGGACTCCAAGTCCCCTTTTGTGAGTTGCTGTGCATTTACACTGACCGAGGCCGATGAGGGAGCTGTGGTATCCTGTGTGGGATCGGACAGGGATGCCTGCTCTGTATTGACTGGAGACATGCCGCAAATCTCGTGAGCCTTAAGTAGGTATGTCGTGAGGGACTTTTGAGCTTGCCCCTTTTTTTTCTTGGTGGACGGCATACAAGGAATCTCCCGGGGGTGATCAACTGACAATTAGATAGTGAATAGAGATTATAACCCCAGGGGACCTATAGCGCCCATAATAGGTTTAGGGTGGTAGTTACATGACTGCTGTTAAATCCATCTGTGAGGACATTATATTGTAAAAATATTTAACAAGCCTCGAAAGGGTATGTAGAACATAAGTCGCAGCCACCAGCAAAACTTTCACTCCGGAGCAGGGTGATGGCACCAGATCCCACCTCAGGACACGAAAGGGATAGGTGGGAAGCAAGAAGCAGAGGATCCCCAATTCTGAGCACAGGGCCCTGCAGGAAGATACCCTTCGGGGCAGTATCAAGGCTCCAGTAGGCCTCTGAGCCCAACAGGGGCTGTGGGTTCGGAAGAAGGTGGGCTCTGGGGCTAATGATGTGAGGCCCACCCCCAAATTACTGTGGGGAGATCTTTCTGAGAGGATGCCACCTGTACCCCCCACTCACTGTGACCATGTGGAAGGAGGCCTCCGGCAGATAGTATGGGCCGCGGAGGTCACCGCCGCCGTGGGGAGCAGCACCACTCAGCGGCGTCCCTCTCACAGCCTCTGAGATGCAGAGGACGCCGCAGACGTCCTTGGGTGATCCCCCACAGCCCGGATGGCAGCGGGCGCAGATGAAAGGTGCCGGAGCCCCGGCCCACGCGGCCACACCAGGCCGCAGATGTCCGCCGCCACGAAGGGTGGAAATGTCGCCCGGAGTCTGCTCCCCAGGTATCCGGGATGATACCAGGGCCCTTCACTGCTCCTCTGTGATCCGCCGCTGCACGGATGGCAACGGATTTTAGAGTTAGGCGCCGGAGCTCCGGATTATGCGGCCTATCCTTCATCCTGGAATTAAGATTTCCACTCCCCATACAATACTGTCTAGCCTTCCCCTCTTTTTGTGGAAGAGAAGACAAGCTATGACTATAGGTTTTCTGCCTGCAGCTATGCCTCCGGAGAGAAGGATTCAGACATAATCAGGAAATGCGGCTATGAGTTTTGTAGCAGCACGTTCTGAATGTGTGGCATTTTGGGCTCCCCACTGGGATGGTGGCAGTAGACTGCCAGAACCCCAACCCTCCTCTTCCTCCTCACATTCCTCTTTCTGCCTCATGACATTGCCCATGGTGGCAGAGGGTAAGGATGGTCTTCTGTGCAAAGTAATTCCAGCTGGCAAATAGCCTGCTGGACAAAACATAGGTGGCTGAATACCTGACACAGCAGTAAAGCATAGGCTGGTTGTATGACAAAGCTGGCATGAAGATGTTGGGTACCCATATGGCAGTATTAGAGGATATAAAGGAAGATGAAAAGGTTCATTAGCAGTGCCTACAAAAAGTCTTGCTATGCCCCCTTGAGGAGGAGGAAAAGGGCACATGGGCAGCACCAGAAAATTGAAGGGACAGCTCTTTGTTCTTGAGGAGGATGAATAGGGTACATTATCATTACTATTAAATAAAAATGGCTACTATGCTCACTTGAAGAGCATGAAGAAAAGGACACAATAGCGACACATGCAAGCAAGTGGATTGTCTGCGCCTGTAAGGATTAGGAAAAGAAGGATTTGTCAGCCACTTTAGTGCCTCTGATGCAGCCAGTTTAAGCCAGCGAAACCGGTTAGGTATGTCTCATACTGCCACACCATATTCTCCTAATGGGACCACTGAATACCAGCAGAGGATGACAATGGTCTATGTGTTAAGTATACTCTTTCTGGCTGTACTGTGTGTATTTTCTGAAGGCATGATTAAATGATCCTGGAATCCTTCGAAGGACTGCATTTGACATGATATGCTGCTTTCTTATATACTGGATGTTGAATCCACTTCTTTGTGATTTTGTCATGCCCAATTAATCATATGATATTGAGGATATACAGTATTATCCATATTAAATTTGAAAACGGAACTTAATCTAGTATATGCTCATGTATTCAAACTATGTGTGAATGAACTTTCAAGGCTCTTATATGGAATATGTGGACATCTGTAAGAGGGAGGCAACTTCTTTCCTGAATTATAAGACTGCTTAGGGGGCGTGGTCTGCTGAGAGGGGGCGTGGTCTGCCGAGATCCAAGATGGTCATGTGATACAGGAGCTCCTGCCATCCAGAGACCTTGGATCGATATTAGCAGAGGAGCGGGTGAGACAGAGCCATTACATGATGGGGAAAGCGGACTGGAAGGTCACCGGCTCCCGTTCCTGCTCTCCGCGGGCACATAACCCCCAGCAATCCAGACATATTCAGGAGCTGTTCAGCTCTCAGCAGAGGGACAGGCCACATGCAGCATCCCCTTTCCTCCCCCTCCTCCCTCCACTACAGAAACATGTGCTCAGGGTGTACAGAGCACAGACACTGGGGCTGACATTGCATCTGTCCCACAGCATGATCTCTCTTCAGACACTCATACACTTTCTTTAAGAGATCTGTATGCAGTTGCAGCTGACATTAAAGCTACTTTTACCACAGCCCTCAGTGACCTAAGAGAAGACCTTCATTTGTTAAGTACAAGAATAGAGGAGGGTGGAATTCACAAGCAGATCTAATGCTGATGCCATAGTGGAGATACAGCAGTTTGTCAGTATTGCACACATCTCCTATCCGTGATTTTTATAGACAGATTGAAGATCTGGATAATAGAGGTCGCAGACATAATATCAGATTGCGTGGCTTGTGTGAATCTGTGGAGCCGAGCGACATCCTCAAAACAGTAATTGCGATCTTCAATGATCTGCTGGGACGTACACCTGCTGCACCCATTGATCTGGAACGTGCACACAGAGCGCTTTGCTCCAGAGGCAGAGATTCTGACCCCCCAAGAGATGTAGTGTGTTGCTTGGTCAGCTTTTCAATCAAAGAAGACATTCTCAGAAGGGCCAGAGAAAGAAGACGCCGTTTATTTCAGGGTAATGAGATACACCTGTTACAGGACCTCTCCTCCATAACCTTGCAACAAAGGCGAGAACTTTGCCCCCTGCTGGACACACTTCGCTCTCATCACATACCATACAGGTGGCGATTTCCATTCTGTCTCTCGGCTCAAGCTCAGGGGCGCACAGCCTACCTGCGAGTTCCAGAGGATCTCCCCAGCTTCTGTTCCGCACTAGACATTCCTCTAGTTGAGCTTCCAGATTGGTACAGATCTCTGCGTCTTACAAATGTGTCAAGGTCCTACCTTTCTTCAGAGCTTGTGCATCTCCATGAGCTGGCCTCCATCTTGGTTTTCTGCAAAGCATGGTGGGAACCTTTATGCCTTCAGGCTTCTGCGGCTCCCTCCTCAGAAGGGTGTGGTTGAGCACATTTAAACCTGCTGTATGCAAGTGTGCTCTGCACTTGTGTCCTGTATGTTGCCCTGTGCAAGCTCTTGTGTTGTTCCCATTGCTCTCCTGGTAACCGACTCGGCTTGGACAAGACTACTCTCTGCGTTAACCCTTTATCTGACCTCCCGTTGTTGAACCCCGGCCCGTGACCTGAGTATTCTTTGCCTACCGTCTAGTACTGTCTGCTCCGTTGTTATTGACCCGGCTTGTCTGACTACTCGTGATCCCATCTAGCTCCCACCAGCTGTACGCCATTGGCGGCAGTCGTTATCGCAGCTGGGTCACTCGGGGGGCCGCGACCTGGTCTCAGGCTGCGTCAAGTCCATCCCCACCATCAGGGGCCCTGGTGAAGGGTAGCCTGGGGCTTAGACTCCGCGCCCTGAGGGACTCTGGTCTGTGGGTAGTGGCTGTCGTCAGTCGCAGCGTGACCGTACCATAGGCCTACCTGCCCATTCCAGCGTTCCTGCCCTGACATTACACAAGTGCCATGAATCCTGACGGTGCAGGTACGCCTTCGATCCCTATGTTACTCGCCAGACTTGACCAACAGGATTGCTTGTTGGATCAGTTCGCTCAGGCGTTGCAGGCTCTGCTTGCACGCACAGCGCACCTTACCCCTGGGGCTATTAGGTCAGTTGTTACTCCGGTGGACTCTCCCACTGTTGCTCCGGTTGTTGCACCTACCTCTGCATCTGTTGCGGAACCCGCGGTACCCAGAGGTATGACTGGTTCTGCCCCTCTTCCTCAGCGCTTTGGGGGGGAACCGAGTCAGTGTCGTGGTTTTCTTAACCAAGTGGGGATTTACTTTGAATTAATACCTCACGCTTTCCCTACTGAGAGGGCGAAAGTGGGCTTCCTAATCTCGCTGCTCTCTGATAGGGCCTTGGCCTGGGCTAATCCCTTATGGGAGAGGAATGACCCGGTGATTCACTTGTTTACCCCCGTTTCGTTGCCTCCTTCCGTACGGTATTCGACGTACCCGCTCGCTCCCGCTTCTGCTGCCAAATTGCTCATGTCCATGCATCAGGGTTCACGAACCGTTGCCGAGTACGCCATCGAATTTCGTACTTTGGCGGCAGAGGTGGGTTGGAACAATGAGGCTCTGGTGGCTGCTTTCTCTCATGGTCTCTCTGATGCGTTGAAGGACGAGATCGCAGCTAAAGAACTGCCTGTGGAGTTAGAGGCACTCATCTCCTTCCTAATCTTGATTGACACCAGGCTCAGGGAGAGGCCTTCATTTAAGGAGCGGCTGCGGAGGCCTCCTAACCGTTTGGCGCCTACGTTTTCTGTCCCACCCGTGCCTCCCTCTCCTCCCACGCCTCCTGGGGATGGTTTGTCTGGTAGTGAGCCCATGCAGCTGGGGTTTGCTTGCCTTTCCGAGGGGGAGCGGGCCTCTCGGCGTCGGGAGGGTCGCTGCCTGTACTGTGGACTCGGGGGGCATTTTCGGCAGTCCTGTCCGGTCCGTCCGGGAAACGCCCGCACCTGAGATCCTGTCGGGGGCAGATCTTGGGTGGAGTTTCCTCGTCCCCGGTTTCCCGTAAAGATAAACCGCTTATCACCGTTGTCCTCTCTTGGGCAGGAGGCTCGGTGACGGCCCAGGCGCTGGTAGACTCTGGGGCTGGCGGTTTGTTTATGGACAGTTCGTTTGCGGCCCAGTACTCCATTCCTCTGCAGGCTTGAGAGACTCCATTGGTTCTCGAGGCGATAGATGGCAGGCCCTTGCAGCCATCGCAGGTTACCCACGAGACCCTGCCGGTGGAGGTAGCTATTGGGGCTGTTCACAGGGAATTGGCCTGTTTCCAGGTAATTTCTTCCCCCGCACTACTCCGTGGTTTTGGGCTATCCCTGGCTTCAGAGGCACAATCCGACCTTTGATTGGCGATCGGCCGAGATTCTCTCATGGTCACCACGGTGTGGGGCTGGTTGCATCCGTGGTCCGGTTAAGGTGCTGTGCACCTCCTCGGACTCTGTGCTGCCCACTGAATATGGGGAGTACCTGGACGTGTTTGACAAGGTGCGCGCCGGTGCCCTGCCTCCTCATCGTCCATTACGATTGTGCCATAACCTTACAAACTGGTGCTACTCCTCCGCGTGGCAGGGTGTATCCTCTTTCGGTGGCAGAGAATCAGGCCATGGAGGAATACGTTGCGGATGCGCTTTCCCGGGGGCACATTCGCAAGTCTACGTCTCCAGCAGGAGCGGGGTTTTTTTTTGTGAAAAAGAAGGGAGGTGAGCTGAGACCCTGCATTGATTTTAGATGTCTCAATCGGATCACGATTAAAAATGCTTATCCTATTCCGTTGATCACCGAGTTGTTTGACCGCCTCAAGGGAGCAACGGTCTTTACTAAGCTCGACCTTAGGGCTGCCTACAACCTTGTACGGATCAAGGAGGGCGATGAGTGGAAGACCGCGTTCAACACCAGAACCGGCCACTATGAATACCTGGTTATGCCCTTCGGGTTGTGTAACGCACCCGCGGTCTTTCAGGAGTTTATTAACGATGTCTTACGTGACTTGTTGCAGCAGTGCGTGGTGGTTTACTTGGACGACATCCTGGTTTACTCTGCGTCTATGGAGACTCATATCCAGGATGTTAAGCGGGTGCTGCAACGGTTACGTGAAAACGAGCTTTTATGTAAGCTCGAGAAGTGTGAATTTCACCAATCCCAGGTTGCCTTTTTAGGCTACATCATTTCCCCGATGGGTTTTTCTATGGACCCTGAGAAGGTTTCAGCGGTTCTGCAGTGGCCTCGTCCCAGTGGTCTTCGGTCCATTCAGCGCTTTTTGGGATTTGCCACTATTATCGGAAGTTTATCAGGAACTTTTCCACATTGGCAAAGCCTCTCTCAGATCTGACCAAGAAGGGCAGTAACCCTCACGAGTGGTCACCCGAGGCCATCTCAGCTTTCAAGGCTCTGAAAGCCGCCTTCACTTCGGCCCCAATTCTGTCTCATCCCAATCCTGGGTTGCCTTTTGTTCTCGAGGTTGATGCATCTGAGACAGGAGTAGGCGCCCTCTTGTCCCAGCGACGGTCACCCGAGGGACCCCTACTTCCTTGTGGGTTCTACTCCAAGAAGCTTTCCTCTGCAGAGTGCAACTACCAGATTGGAGACAGGGAGTTGTTGGCCATTATTCTGGCTCTCAAGGAATGGAGGCACCTGCTTGAGGGTTCTGTGGTCCCGGTCCTAGTTCTCACTGACCACAAGAACCTCACATATCTCTCGGAGGCTAAGAGGTTGACACCCCGTCAGGCCAGGTGGGCTCTGTTTTTGTCACGTTTTAAACTATGTGGTCTCTTACTTGCCTGGTTCCAAGAATGTCAGGGCTGATGCCTTGTCGCGGCAATACTCTGAGCTGTCCAGGGAGGACACTGAGCCGACCTCGGTCATTCCTCCTAACCAGATCCTGGCTGCCATTCGTACCAACCTGACTTCTCCCCCTTGGGGAGCAGATTTTGGCGGCTCAAACTAACGCTCCCCCCTGAGAGACCTGCTGGAAGATGTTTTGTACCTGAGGGATTGCGTACCCGCTTGCTACGTACCTACCATAATGCCAAGACTGCCGGTCATCCTGGTAGGAACCAATTGTCCTGGGTCGTTTCTCGGTTATTCTGGTGGCCATCTCTCCGTTCTGACATCGCCTCATATGTAGCAGCTTGTTCGGTCTGTGCCCAGAATAAATCTCCTCGGCACCTTCCATTGGGCCTTCTGCAACCCATTCCCAATGGGGAGCGTCCCTGGTCACACCTGGAATGGATTTTATTGTGGATCTTCCTGCGTCTCAAGGTCATACGGTCATTCTCTTATGGTGATCGATCGTTTTTTCTAAGATGTGTCCATTGCGTTCCATTCAAGAAATTGCCGACTGCACAGGAACTGGCTACGGTTTTCGCCAAGGAGATCTTTCGCTTGCACGGGTTGCCCAAGGTGATTGTCTCGGACCGTGGGAGCCAGTTTGTGTCCAGGTTCTGGCGCGCCTTCTGCTCCCAGTTGGGTATCGAGCTTTCCTTCTCTTCGGCCTACCACCCTCAGTCCAATGGGGCTGCGGAACGTTCCAACCAGGCCCTGGAACAATTCCTTCGTTGCTATATATCGATCATCAGGACAACTGGGACGATCTCCTGCCATGGGCAGAGTTTGCGAGGAACTCGGCTGTCAAACTCCTCCTCTGGGATGTCCCCCTTCATGGCCAACTATGGGTTCCAACCCGCTGTATTGCCTGAGTTGTTCTCTCCACAGGACATTCCGGCTGTGGATAACCACCTGGCTGCTCTGCGCTCCTCATGGGGGCAGATTCAGAGGTCCTTGAAGGACTCAGCACAGCGCCAGAAGCTCCAGGCTGATCGTAGACAGTTGCCCGCTCCCTCATAACCAGGTCGGAGATCGGGTGTGGTTGTCCACTCGCAACCTCAAGCTTCGGGTGCCCACACCAAAGCTGGCCCCCCGTTTTGTTGGTCCTTTCCGCATTCTTCGCAGGGTGAACCCGGTTGCCTATGCCCTTGCTCTTCCTCCTGGGATGCACATCTCCAATGTCTTCCACGTATCCCTGTTGAAACCTCTGATCTGTAATCGCTTTACTGCCTCTCTGCCTCGTCCTCGTCCTATCAGGGTCGACGGTCATGAGGAGTATGAGGTGAGCCGCATCTTGGATTCTCGGTTGGTCCGCGGTCGGGTACAGTTTTTGGTCCATTGGCGTGGTTATGGTCCCGAGGAACGTTCCTGGGTTCCTTCCGCGGATGTTCATGCTCCTGCCCTCCTCCGCGCTTTTCACGCCCGATTTCCTCAGAAACCTTTTGTGGAGCCACGGAGGGGGAGGGCCCTTGAGGGGGAGGTACTGTCAAGGTCCTACCTTTCTTCAGAGCTTGTGCATCTCCATGAGCTGGCCTCCATCTTGGTTTTCTGCAAAGCATGGTGGGAACCTTTATGCCTTCAGGCTTCTGCGGCTCCTCCTCAGAAGGGTGTGGTTGAGCACATTTAAACCTGCTGTATGCAAGTGTGCTCTGCACTTGTGTCCTGTATGTTGCCCTGTTGCAAGCTCTTGTGTTGTTCCCATTGCTCTCCTGGTAACCGACTCGGCTTGGACAAGACTACTCTCTGCGTTAACCCTTTATCTGACCTCCCGTTGTTGAACCCGGCCCGTGACCTGAGTATTCTTTGCCTACCGTCTAGTACTGTCTGCTCCGTTGTTATTGACCCGGCTTGTCTGACTACTCTACTCGTGATCCCATCTAGCTCCCACCAGCTGTACGCCATTGGCGGCAGTGGTTATCGCAGCTGGGGTCACTCGGGGGCCGCGACCTGGTCTCAGGCTGCGTCAAGTCCATCCCCACCATCAGGGGCCCTGGTGAAGGGTAGCCTGGGGCTTAGACTCCGCGCCCTGAGGGACTCTGGTCTGTGGGTAGTGGCTGTCGTCAGTCGCAGCGTGACCGTACCATAGGCCTGCCTGCCCATTCCAGCGTTCCTGCCCTGACAAAATGCTACTGAATCTGGTCGAGTACCAAGTGACATGGATTGGCAAGGCCCCCATCTCTGCCGCCGATTGGTCCCTTCCACTCCTCTGAGACTTCCTGCCAGAGGCTCCACTATTAACAACAGCCTGACAGCCTCTCCTGCACATCGCAGACCCCGCCATGATGCCTAAAGGCCTTTTTTAGATCTCTTCCCTGACTTTCTCTCATCAGCAATACTTATCCAGACTATGATCTTACCAGATCCCTCCCATCCGACTCCAGGACCATGCTAGTAGCACCTCGGGTCCTATTTGGCCCTTAACTGTACACCTTCACCCTTTCATTTTCTGCTCTCTAAACCCATCCGCCCTGGTCCAGGTCTTTTAATGCCCCTGCAGATGTTGCCAATTCGCCTCATCGATCATGAAGACCTTTTCCCTCTCAGCTTCTCCAATGGGTGGTTTGAGTTTTTGGGAGGAAGTTGGGAAAAGAAGAGTTAGGACAGATGAGAGATACCTTAGGGTTCCAAAAAGAAATGGTGACTATATCTCATTTTTCCCAACTGTTTCCTTTGATGGTTGCTTTTTTTTTTTTTTTTTTTTTCTGAATGGTTTGCCCTGCTGTTTCTGTGATGTTGCAATGTTTTTGCCCTAAACAGATTATGATATGATTTGCTTTTCATCTTAATGATATGCAGGTTTTCCATCTGGCTTTCACTGATGTTTTATTTTCAGCATGGACTCGCACACTGGCCCTACCATGGCACACCTACAATATCACAACTCTGCCCATAACTTTAGGATCATGCCACGACTACATCCCACTTAGATGTGCATTTTCTCATCTCCCTACTTACAATGCTTCCACCACGATATGCCCTAATGATATATATTCGTCTCCTTGCCCTCATGACATTTGTTACATTTTCCTTCTGATATTCCTAAACTTGTTTGCTGCGTCTTACCTCACTCATTATGCTGGACGATGGCGGTTGTGCCGCCATTTAGATCTTCATTCAAACGAATTGTGCTCACCCTCCCTCCCTGATTCTTGCATTTTTTTAAGGTCCATGGCCCGGCAGACTCTTTCATTTAGGATCTAAGTCCACCGCATTTCCCACACAGCGAGCTTCGAGAGCTCTCGCTGAACTTTTTCCGGCCATCTTACTCCCTTGTCCTCTGCTTCTCATCGCCTTTCATTCCTTGTTCCTCTTTCTGCTATTTACCTCCTACCCCTTCTTTCTTGTTCTTCTTTCCTTCTTCCCACATCTTGGTGGTCAGCCGGTCTACCCCCACTGCCGGTTATCTCTCT